TTCGTGGGAATCGCATATGATCTGGTGGACGGGTTGGAGACGGCTCTTCCTATCTCCACCCGTGTTCCCTAGATCTAGAGCTCGTTCTCGAGGTTGGAAGCCCGCGCTGCGGTTCTTCCCCCTCTGAGTGAGAGCTTGCTGATGCGGCCATCTTTTTCTGAGGAGATTGATGTTGTTGGTGTGACTGAGTGGCTCGCGCGCTGCCGAGGCAATGCGTATATTACGTCATTCGATTTCGATGTAAATCTTACTCACCAGACCGTATTTACCCCTCTGTTTGTTGACTGCATTTAATTCTGAGGAATAAAATGAAGCATTTTCTGACTATGAGAAGTTAGATACACAGAGGCACTTCGGAAAAAATAAATAAATGTTCTCGAGTGAGAGCAAAAACAGAAAAACAGAGCGTGGTGTCTGCCTGTCACCACAGAAGAGAACACACTCAGCCTGCCCTGATCTGATGTTTCCAGCACAGCTACATTATATTATACCATATTACTGTATTATATTATTTAGATGTATATTTTGCTTCTGTAAATATGCCTAATCCCTTATCTTATTTTATTTTTTATTTCTAGTTGATATACTTACAATATTAATTAATTTTGCACTACATGGTTAATATTTTTTTATATATTATTATTATTACTATTATTATTATTATTCTTTTTCTTTCTGTTAATACATATGTGCACTATTTGTAAGCAGCCCAGCTGCAATTGCTATACAATGCAGTACAAATGTATAGTTTTTGTCATGCCAATAAAGCACACTTACAGTGAATTGAATTGAATTGAATTGAGAGAGTGAGAGAGATACAGAGCGAGAGAGATATAGAGATAACTGGGCCAGATAAAGACAGACACTGTTAGACAGAGAAGCTCAGTCAGAATCACTACAAGCTAATCATCACCGCTAGAGCAGATAAACACAGTCTGACACACAAACACTGAGATGAAACATGAACTGACCTTCTAACAGTAATAGATCACAGATCAGCACATCACTTCCTGCTGCTCCTCACATCACCTCACACTTCCTGTGCTGAAGACAACATGAGCACTTGTTTTATGTCATTACAACAGTTTAATCTTCATCTGATCATCTGTGTTTAAACTTTAAACAATCACAAAACGCTTTAGACACTATTCATGTCATTCATACTGAAGTTCATCAGTTCGATGGAGAGTCTACCAAATGAAAGAAATGGAGCATTATTTGAAAAGCATTTGTTATGAGGCTACACAAAACAACTGAGCAAATGAATAAAACAAATACATCATACTAAATCGCAGAGTCTCTGTCAGCTTCATCTTTATAAAATGAATGAATTAAATCCGTGCTCGATGTGACGCTCGTTCTCAGAAAATCCTTCACAAACAATACACACACACACACTCTCTCTCTCTCTCACACACACACACGCGCGCACACACACACACACACACACTCACTCACTCACACACACACTCACACACACACTCACGCACGTTCATACTGAAGTTCATCAGTTCGATGGAGAGTCTACCAAATGAAAGAAATGGAGCATTATTTGAAAAGCATTTGTTATGAGGCTACACAA